GGAAACTGTAGTACTGGGAGAAAACCTGCCCTAGCGCCACTTTGTCCACTAGAAATCCCACTTGACCAGACCCAGGATCGAACCCGCGTCGCCGCGGTGGGAAGCCAGCGACTAACGGCTTGAGCTATGGTGCGGCCCAAATAAGAAGTAAGTAGCGGTAAGAAAAAAGACTCTGCTCTGATTACTTCTTGATTATTTTCTTATTCGCCTTACTCTCCGATCCTGAAGGAAGAGTTAGTATAGTCCTCCGAAACGCTGGGGAACATCCCAGAAGAGAGTACGTCTGTATAGTCACCGCCATGAGAATTCCAGACTCTCAGGCCCTGAACAATTTTCATCTTGCTTTGTGAACCCACACTATCTCAGCGGAACAGGCGGAGTCGGACTGTGATTTCGACCTACTCGTATGCACTGAATGGGTTGTGGAAGGAAGAGATCGAATTATGTATCCATTCAGCTTGAAGGGTGAACTGAGGAAAACCATTAAGGATCTCATTAAGGAGAACCTCCCATCACACTAGAAATCGAGTGCAAGACCTCCCGATTACGGCAAAGCGGTATTTAGCGCTAAGAACTTTCGGTTCTGTATACAATTCTTAAGCTTTCTCGTCTTATATGCCGTAATCCATTATTTTCTTACTAATTTTTTTTTATGTTTTAAGATTTTCCAAGAAGAAACACTATCCACTTTATTTTTATAGAAACTCAATGCGTAATATCGCACTGAATACATTATATTCTATTTAAAGATACAGAAAAAGTGAGTTAATATAGAGGTTAAATATCAAAGAGCTAAATTACTAAACATAACATACAGAACTTCAGAATACAGGAATGAGAAAATCGAACTGAAGCTAGCTTTTTCAAATATTTGGGAATTATTATACGAAGTGATCTAAGGTGGGCTGACCAGGTAAATTACAGGGTCCGAAAAGCCTGGAGAGCACTACATTTTGTAATGCGTATTGTAAAAAGGGGCAATAAAAACACCAAAAGTTTAGTCTACACGTCGCTTGTACGTCCCATTCTCGAATATGGGGCTGCGTGCTGGGATCCATACAGGGAATGTCAGATCACTGCTTTAGACCGCGCTCAAAATAAAGCTGCTAAATTTGCCCATTATACAGGAGGCTCGGTCTGGGAATCTTTGGCGCAGCGTAGGATGATAGCACGGATGTGCTCACTTTATAAAGCGTATAACGGTGACAGGGCGTGGAAAGATATAGGGGACAGATTGCAGGCGCCATACTACGTGAGTAGAGTCGATCATCTTAGGAAAATAAGAGCCAGAAAAATAAGAACAGATGTCGGGAAATTTTCCTTTGTGAACAGGACCATCGCTGGCTGGAACCAGTTACCTGAAGAGGTGATTGGGACTCCCGTTAAAGCGCATATATTTAGAAAGAAGGTTAGGAAAGCAAAATCAGTAGAGCAAGTGATGTGAAGAGAACTGACGTGTACTTGTATTAGGTCATTGTACTTGTACTGTACTGTGAAAATTATTTCTTGAGACGTATGTTTTTTCATGAGACGTATGTGATGTATCTTTGTTGAATGTATGTCCGCTTTTGTAAACACTGCCACCGGGCATAAGCCCAATTGCAGTAAATAATATATATATATATATATGCTATACAGAGTGTATCACAAATCAACGGCAAAACTTCAGGAACGGACTCCTAATGTAGAGAGAAGAAAATAGTATATGACAACATGGGTCCGGAAATGCATATAATTGCAGAGTAGTAATTGTGTCTGCACGCCACTGAAAAGAATTGGCGACATGAGTGCTTTCTATTGGAGGGTCGGCCTTTCACCGGGAGGGCAGCCTTTCTATCGGTGGGTCGGCCTTTCACTGGCAGGACAGCTCTATGATTATCATGACGTCACCTATGATTACTTCGTGATAAATTTTCCTCCGCCAGTTCTTTTCAGTGGCGTGCAGACACAATTACTACTCTGTAATTATGTGCATATCCGGACCCATGTTGTCATAAACTTTTTTTTTCTCTCTATATGAGGTGTCCGTTCCTGAAGTTTTGCCGTTGAGTTGTGATACACCCTGTATTGTGAGAGTTGGGATTGGGCGCATGTTTCCCGAATTACACTGCAGTACTGCTGTCCCTTCCCACTGATGTTATGCACGCCACTGATCCTGATATCATGAAAGTGGTTTTCTTGCAAAATCTTTGAATAGAAACGGCGCAGAATCCAATTCGCGAGCAAGTGCTCAGCTTCCCAGTAAACTGAATGCCACCAAATTCGCTCTAACTTCTTCATTATTTGAGATAAGAACTATTATATGGCCTTTAATGGAAAAATCGATAAGTGAGTTTTTAAATAGATTGTTTTTAACTTCATACAAGGAAGTAAAATTCCAAGAATCCGTAGGACATGTGTAAGAGTGTAACTTCTTCCTTGCATTAAAGGCGATAAAAATTAATGACTAGCAATTTAAAATATTAATGTAGAACAAATAATTCCCTGACGAACAAAATGAAAAATATCCTGTTTGTTTGGCGTCGAATTCCAGATGTTGATTATCCACCCTTATACTGTTATTATGTGCGTTTCGAAAACTAACTATTCGTTTTAAATGTCCGTCCGCAAATTGCATTACCGATTTTGATTAAACTCAATATGGTGTATTTATGCGAACCTTTTCAGGGTCGTATAATCTCGGTTTATTGCGCGTTATTTTTAGTGCAACAGAACTTCATTACATTTTCCTAGTATCTTGACAGACTTTGATAAAACTTTATATAAGATTCTTTTTTATTACAAACGTGTTACTATACATATGTTTCGTTTAAGAAAATTTATTTAAGAGCCCATTTACTGAAGAACTAACTGAATATTTACTTGCATTTTTTGTTATCCTTATAGATCCTATAAAAATTTTTACAATCAATGGCGCCTATGTTATACAATTATTACAAACCACTGCCTAATGCAAGGTAATATTACTACACGGATCCTAAGGTACTCCAAGGCATGTAGTACGAATGGGGGAGAAGAGGAATACATAGAGAATATCGGCGGGAAAGCCAGAAGGAAAGAGACAACTAGGAAGACTAAGACTTAGATGGGTGGACAATATTAAAACGGATCTTAGAGAGATAGTGTGGGGTGGTATGGATTGGATTGATCTGGCTCAGGATAGGGATTAGTGGAGGGCTCTTGTGAATACGGTGATGAATATTCCGGTCTCATAAAATGCTGGGAAGTTCTTGAGTAGCTGTACAACTGGCGGCTTCTCAAGAAGGGCTCAGATCCGTGAATGAGTGATCCTGAGATACTGGAAATAATAGCGAAAATATTTCATTACGGATTACTACTTCTTGTGCCAAAAATTCGAACTTGGGAACCCCAAAAAGAACACGATATTGGTCTCCTGGATATCCTAGCCAAGGTGTGACAACGTCACGTTGAAGGATCGATTCAACGCAACCCGGCACACACCCACGCGACCTGAAGTGCAGGGACGAACGTTCGTTTGCAAGTGCATGCTCGAAAGATTTGTATAACGAATGGAGGATACCGCGTGACACTAATGGAAGAGGCGCAGTGCTGACACTTCACGGAATAACGATTTAAAGGACACGCTGGAAGGTTGCGCTCACTCACTAAATTCATGGAGCTGAGCCCTTCTTGAGAAGCTGCCAATTGTGCAGTCACTCAAGAACTTCCCAGCATTTTATGAGACCCGAAGGTTCATTACCACTCTCCACTGATCCCTATCCTGAGCCAGATCAATACAATCCATACCATCCCATACTATCTCTCTAAGATCCATTTTAATATGGTCCACCCACCTACGACTTGGTCTTCGTAGTTGTCTTTGTCCTTCTGGTTTTCCTAACAATATCCTATATGCACTTATTGGAGAGGCGTTCGCACAGTTTTGATACGAAATTCAGGAGGGAGCAAATTAGTAAGACGACTTAAATGTAACTGGAAGGATAATATTAAAATGAATCTGAGAGAAATAATTCAGAGATATGGGCTGTCTTCATGAGGCTCAGGACAGAGATCAGTGCCTAGCATTTGTGAACACGGTAATGAACCTTCGACTTGCATGAAGTTGTAGAAATTTATAGTTTGGTTGAACAGCTATTGGCTTCTCAAGAAGGACTCATCACCATGGACTTAGTTCGTTAGCCAGCTAGCCAGTTCGTTGACTGGTTATTTGGTTGATTAGATAGCTAGTTAGTTAGTTAGCTGTTTAGTTGGCTAATTAGCCTGTCTGTTCGTAGAACGATTAGTTAGTTGGTTGGATAAGTAGATAGATAGATAGATAGATAGATAGATAGATAGATAGATAGATAGATAGATAGGTGGTTGGTTGGTTGACTTAGTAACGATCAGTGTAAGTATGGCTAACCTGTCCTGTATTAGAGAAGCAGCGCCAGGCAGGTAACTGACATGCAAGGAGAGTTGTGGCAGCAGAGTGGTGTACTTTTTAAGGAGGGGTTTGGTGTTGTTTCCGCAGGCGGAGAACGGAGGCCTGGTCATGGTGAGCTTCTACGCCGACTTCCTGACGTGCACAGCAGTCGCACGCGTGGAAGACGTCATGCGTAAGTAAAGGTGGCCCCAGACGTAGAACAGTATGGTACATTACGCTAATTGAAAGCATATTTATCACTTTCTTACCCTTATCACTTACTTACGAAAGCACCATGTTGTCTGTGCGTGTTCTTTCTGTCTGTGTGTAGCTCTATTTCAGCTTTTGAACCAACTAACTTAATTCACCGAGCTTTATACGAACAACATTTTTTCTCCAAGTTATGTTCTATAATTTTCTGTACTCAGTAATAATAACAAAATGGGGTCTCGAAATTGTAAGATGGGAACAGCATCAGTGTTGTTTAATTTAGAGCCCTAAGATGACGCTTTGAAGTACGTCTGCAAAAAATACACAGTTTCTTAAGGCAATTTTACTAAAATATAAAATAACAACATGGTGGCCGTGCGAAATTTTTCTTTGTTTTTCATTTTGTTGGCAGTAACTACTGAACCATTAGGGCTAGGCATGTGACATTTTTGCTAGGAGATGCATCATAAACATATATACAACTTGCATTCAAATAGTTACAAACGTGACATAGATGCGAAATCATGAGAATATTTTCAACGTATTAAATCTAAACAAAATCTGTAACAAGTCTCCATAAAAATAAAACAGCAAGTTCAGGGAAGAACTAATGGCTTGTTTTCTCGATACGACGCCGACTGCATATAAAATGACGCGTCCAACAATGTTTCTATTGTTGCGTGTTTGTTTTGCAGCATTAACTTCTTTACCGAAACGTTGCGTAGCAACGAGAGGGGGACATAGAACCCCATTAGATGGATGTATGATATACGCCTTTGAGATTGGCTCAGATGCTACGATACACATACCAAATTTCATAAAGATTGGTTCTGGCATTCAAAAATTGATTGGGGGATACACCGGCACACAGACAACATGGAGATCTCATAAGACTACTTCCATTTTTTTCAAAAGAAGGAGAGAAGGCTAACAAGACAACAGTATTAATTCGAATATATTTATAGGTCTAGAATTATGTTTTTTTTTCCTTGGCACTACAGCCCCCGTGGGTCTAGGCCTACCTCCATGAACTTCTCCGTTCACTTCGGTTTTTCTAGATCTTACACATTCGGTAGGACTCCTTGGGCGGGTGATCAGCTCGTCGCAAGGCCTCTACCTGTACACAAACACAGAAAAACGCACACATACAAACTAAACATCAATGCCCTGAGTGGGATTCGAACCCACGATCCCGGTTTCCAAGCGAGCGAAGACAGTACATGCCTTAGACCGCTCGGCTACCGTGACCGCCTAGAATTATGTACAATAGGAAAATACGCTTCGTGAGTTCTGCCTGGAACTTAGTCTCTTCTTCTCCGCCTCTTTCTTCACCTCCCTTTTCTCTTCCTCCTCCTCTCCTCTTCATCAGTGTTCGTCCAGGCTCCGCAAGGGGCATAACATTCGCTTTCATCTAATAGTGATGTTGGGTATTGAAAGTTGTATTTCCAACTTTGGCCAAAGTCTGTCGGTCTGTGCGCTTGCTGAAAGAGACTTGTGGACTCCAGAGAATGATGGCTGAGTCACGAGGTTCATTATTGGAAGACCGTCTGCTCATTATTGCTCTTCCTTTGGGGATGAGCCTCCCTCAATTAAGATAGTGGACAGACCGTAGTTCATTCCTAACAAATCCCACAGACATCCTGTCGGATTTTATGTATTAGTAAAGACAACACCACACGCTGTGGAGGAAGCACACATAAACCAGGAGCATATGGCAGACAAAAACTGAAAGTAGACCACGAACGTGAAGGGCAAGCTGCCGAGAAAAACACCTTGATACATTTACGAAAATGACGACACCCAGGGTGAAATAATATTCAAGAGAAATTTTAAAGGATTTTATCTCGTTTTACTTAAGAAGACTACAGCATGTGATTTTAACACGAATTAAAACAGTGTAGCAGTTTTTAACACAGTTTTAGTAAAATATCTGTAACATAAAAACACCTGAAGATGGCCATTTGAGGCCGAAATATGTAGTGTTGAATTGTAGAACGTAAAAGTGTTGCAACTTTGACGGAAGATAAACAATGGACGCTAATTTATGTATTAAGTTTGTATTTTTCTTTTCCTTGGCACTACACCCCCAGTGGGCCTAGGCCTACCTCCATGAACTTCTCCGTTCACTTCGGTTTTTCTAGATCTTACACATTCGGTAGGACTCCTTGGGCGGGTGATCAGCTCGTCGCAAGGCCTCTACCTATACACAAACACAGAAAAACGCACACATACAAACTAAACATCAATGCCCTGAGTGGGATTCGAACCCACGATCCCGGTTTCCAAGCGAGCGAAGACAGTACATGCCTTAGACCGCTCGGCTACCGTGACCGCCTAGAATTATGTACAATAGGAAAATACGCTTCGTGAGTTCTGCCTGGAACTTAGTCTCTTCTTCTCCGCCTCTTTCTTCACCTCCCTTTTCTCTTCCTCCTCCTCTNTGTGTACACTAGATAATTTCATGATCATAAGAAAATTGTCATAGCTGATAAATATTTTTGTATTTCACGAGTTTCATCGCCTTCTTATGACGTTTCTTGTTTATGTAAGTAGCTGCATGATTATTCTGACCAAACCAATGCGATAAGGGAGAATATCCGGAAGTCAGAGTCTTCGCAGGATAATGCTAGATGAAGAGTATCCATTGCGAGGTTCCATATTACGTGTATTTATTCAGTCCCTTCTCAGTTCATCTTCCCTAGGTCCAGGTATCATATTCAGCCTTTCATTACCTAACATCCTCAATTTATATTCTTTTATGAGAATGAAAGACCAAGTTTTGCACCCTCGGAAACTTGTACGGTTATAATTTTATATATTTTTTATTCTAGTATTTCAGATATGGCAAGAGCAAATGTATCAGATCTGAAAGGCTGCGATCATTCCCCGATATATCAGTAATGTAGTTCTGAATATAGCTCTTCTTCTTCTTCTTCTTCTTCTTCTGTTACTCCACCTTTGAGCATAGGGCATCCATGAAAGCTTAGTTCAGTTTCCTAATCTAAGACATTCAGTAGGACTCCTTGGACGGGGTATCTGCCCGTCACAAGGCCGCTCCCTAACACGAACACCAAATAAACACAGACATCCATGCGTTGAGTGAGATTCGAACCTACGATCGCAGTGTTGGAGCAGGCGAAGACATTTAAAGTCTTAGACCTCTCGGCCACTATGATTGGACAATATACGAGTACCTATAGACTCTAAAAATTAGAAATATTTTAATAGAAGTGCGTGTTAAAACAGGAAATAGAGTATCGCCTTTCTAAAACGGAACCTGTATTAAATGAAAACCTGCATGTACTAGTAAATGTTTCTGTACCCGACCGAAAACACAGATTGAAAATCGATGTGATGTAATCTGTAACGTGCTTGAAACGTCATCGCGGAAATAGTAACGGAGAATACAATTTGAACGTTTTTTTCTTTTGTTTTAATTTATTTATATCGATATAATTTTGTTCCTATTCTTCCTGGAATTTATCCTTCAAGGAATATTTGTCGCAAATGAAAAATAATGAAATCCTAATCTCGACAGATTAAATCTGTAGAATATTTTGACGGATTTCTGCAAAAGGAAAACAGGAAGATACGAGCAGAACATATTAAGCTTACTTTTCTATGGCATAGGTTTACAATACTACATACATACTATTGCTATTGTTGCTTGACTTGGCTCATCCAGGTCCGTCACACTAGCAATAGTATAAAATGACTCGCAACACCGTCCAGTCTGAGTGATTAATCAAAGTTGTATTACAGTTCTTCATTTTCCTTAACTTGTTTCGGTCGGATTGACCATGTTCAGAAGGACGATGTTGCGAGTCATTTTGTACTCTCTGATATATTGGGTACAGTGCGTCTATAGCATTCCCTGTGAATGTGGCAGAAGCTACATTGGCGAAACAGGCAGACCTCTGGCCGTGCGGCTCCGGGAACATAGGCATAACCTAAAAGAAGGTCTTCTAGAAAAATCTAAACTAGCCCAACATGCCTATGAAGAGGGACATAGGGTAGGCTGGGATGAAGCTAAGATTTTGGATATTGAAAGCCACATCAGGTATAGGAAATACAAGGAAGCGGCCCATATGGCATGCTCCGCCAACCCAATTAGCCAACCCAGTTTGGACTTTTCTCCCATTTGGATCCCCATTATCAGCAATGAAGTCACCAATTCACATAGAAGATCTGTATGACGTGATATATGCTTTTATTCATTTCTATTAAGTTCTAAATTAGATAGACGTTATTTACTCCATTGTTGACGCTAGTTAGACACTATTCTTGTTACTAGTTCTTCTTTCTATTCCATGCCGTGTGGTCATGGACTCGCTTATGAGTTTGGTTTCGTGGCATAAATTTCTACAGATCTATCTATCCTAGTTCCACGCTTGTATGTGTTTGCAACAATTTGTTATGAATATTTTTCTTATTAGCTCTCATGGACTTAGCCTGATCTCAGGTATTTATAATCTTCATGTTTTGTGAAATCGGTTTGTCCAGTGATTGAGGCTAGATCTTTCTAAGGGACCCAACAGAATAGGTGTTTTCCTTCACCTGAGGACGGAAACAGATCCAGTTTCCGAAACGTCGTATTTTATTAGTTATCTTAAAAACCAGGACGATGGATAAAGTCCGAAAACCCAATATATCAGTGTGTTATACACCATCGTCAGAATCCTATAGTAACTATTTTGTACTCTTGTTGCTATTTTCCCCCTTGGCACTACAGCCCCAGTGGGCCAAGGCCTACCTCCATGAACTCCGTTCACTTCGGTTTTTCTAGATCTTACACATTCGGTAGGACTCCTTGGGCGGGTGATCAGCTCGTCGCAAGGCCTCTACCTGTAGACAAACACAGAAAAACGCACACAAACATCCATGCCCTGAGTGGGATTCGAACCCACGATCCCGGCTTCCGAGCGAGCGAAGACAGTGCATGCCTTAGACCGCTCGGCTACCGTGACCGGCTGTTGCTATTTT